CTGACCTGTTGCAATGTGCTGGCTCAGTCGGGTAGGAAGGGTGATTGAATCTTTAGACATGTTAAGTCGGTGTGTTGATCGGTGGCATGGCGTGGGGTGGGGTGAGTGGTGATAGTCAAAGTTTGAACAGACCAGGTCGGTCGGTCAGTCGATAGCATAGGGAGAGTGGTGATCCAATACTTGGTTCTTGGGGAGTGAGGATGGTGGAGTTCAATCAGTCGGTCGGTTGGGTAGAATGGAGATCCAATACTTGGTTCCTAGGGAGTGATAATGGTGGAGTTGAGTCAGTCGGTCGGGTAGAGTGGAGATCCAATACTTGGTTCCTAGGGAATGATGGTGGAGTTGAGTCAGTCGATCGGATAGAGTGGAGATCCAATACTTGGTTCCTAGGGAGTGAAGATGGTGGAGTTGAGTCGGTCGGTCGGTCGGTCGGGTGGAGTGGAGATCCTTGGTTCCTGGGGAGTGAGGATGGTGGAGTTGAGTCGGTTGGTCAGTCGGGTGGAGTGGAGATCCAATACTTGGTTCCTGGGGAGTAAGGATGGTGGAGTTAAGTCGGTCGGTCGGTCGGTCGGGTAGAGTAGAGATCCAATACTTGGTTCCTAGGGAGTGAGGATGGTGGAGTTGAGTCGGTCGGTCGATCGGGTGGAGTGGAGTGGAGATCCAATACTTGGTTCCTGGGGAGTGAGGATGGTAGAGTTGAGTTAGTCAGTCGGTCGGGTGGAGTGGAGATCCAATACTTAGTTCCTGGGGAGTAAGGATGGTGGAGTTGAGTGAGTCGGTCGGTCGGTCAAGTAGAGTGGACATCCAATACTTGGTTCCTAGGGAGTGAGGATGATGGAGTTGAATCGGTTGGTCGGTCAGTCGGGTCGAGTGGAGATCCAATACTTTGTTCCTGAGGAGTGAGGATGGTGGAGTTGAGTTGTATGCTTGTGTTCTGATTTTGGTGCAGCCCTGTGGCTGAGTCGTGTGAACTCTCTGTTGGGTTAGGTAGATGACTTGTCGATTTTGAGGTGTAAGAACCCTTCACTCGGTCTGGCCGACTAAATGTGTAGCTTCATATACCGGGCAGGGCCGATCGAAGGTGTAGATCCATGAATCGGGCAAGGCAGACCCAGAGATGAAACCATGGGTCGAGCAGAGTCGATCCGAAGGTGTAAATCCGTGGGTCGAGCAGGGTCGACCCAAAGGTGTAAAAAATCCGTAAATCAAGCAGGGTTGATTTAAAGACGCAAATCTGTGGATCGAGCAGGGTCGATCTGAAGGTGTAAATCCGTTAGATTGAGTAGAGTCGATCCGAAGGTGTAAATCTGTGAATCGAGCAAGGTCGATCTGAAGGTGTAACAAACATTTGATTGAGCAGGGTCGATCTGAAGATGCAAATCTGTGGATCGAGCAGGGCCGATCTGAAGGTGTAATTACATGAATCGAGCAGGGTCTATCCAAAGATGCAAATCCATGTGATCGAGCAAGGTCGATCCGATGGTGTAATTACTTGAATCGAGCAGGGTCAATCTGAAGATGTAAATCCGTGGATCGAGTAGGGTCGATCCGAAGGTGTAGTTATATGGATCGAGTAGGGTCGATCCGAAGATGCAAATCTGTGGATCGAGTAAGGTCGATCCGAAGGTGTAATTACGTGGATCGAGTAGGATCGATCCGAAGATGCAAATCCGTGGATCGAGCAAGGTCGATCCGAAGGTGTAATAAACATTTGATCGAGCAGGGTCGATCTAAAGATGTAAATCCGTGGATCTAGCAGGGTCTATCCGAAGGTGTGATTATGTGGATCGAGTAGGGTCGATTTGAAGATGCAAATCCGTGGATCAAGTAGGGCTGATCTGAAGGTGTAAATCCATTGGATCAAGCAGGGTCGATCCGAAGGTGTAAATCTGTGGATCGAGTAGGGTTGATCCGAAGGTATAACAAACATTTGATCGAGCAAGGTCGATCTGAAGATGCAAATTCGTGTATCGAGCAGGGCCGATTCGAAGGTGTAATTATGTGGATTAAGCAGTGTCGATCCGAAGATGCAAATCCATGGATCGAGCAAGGTCGATCCGAAGGTGTAATAAACATTTGATCGAGTAGGGTCGATCTGAAGATGTAAATCCGTGGATCGAGCAGGATCGATCAGAATGTGTAATTACGTGGATCAAGTAGGGTCGATCTGAAGATGCAAATCCGTGGATCAAGTAGGGCCGATCCGAAGGTGTAATTACGTGGATCGATCAGGGTCAATCCAAAGATGGAAATCTGCGGATCAAGTTGGGCCAATCCGAAGTGTGAAAGGTCATGAATCGGGCAGGGCTGATTCGAAGGTGTTAGTTGCTGAATAATGCTTCATTGAATTCAGGCCGTGAGACCGACTGTCTATGAAGGTAGCGGATGGGCCCACTCATCCTTTTTAAATAAAAAATGAAAAGACAATAAATATTTAGATTGATTTCACATAAAAGTAGTAGCATGTGGGATGGATTGCATTCCAACTGTTGCTGATGTCTTTTCCTTTGGGAGTTTAGAGCAGGTAGGCACCCTTCCCCGCTTCTTTGGTGACCTTGAGGGCCTACAATCGATCTGAGCTCTGGCCTCCTGTCGTTCTGCATTCAGTCATACCTGGCGTGAATTGCATGATTCATCTCATCTTCCTCCCACCTTATTTGAATCGTTGCTCTGGCAAAGGCGTCTTCCATCGTGGTGCAACTTAGCTTCGTCAGTTCTTTGTATAGTTCACCATCCGGGAGGAGACCTTTTTTGAAGGCGTCTATGGCTGTCTCAGGGTTACAGGAAGGAATGAAAATCTTCTCTTTATTGAATCTGCTGACATACTCTCTTAATGGCTCTCCCCTCCTTTGGTATACTCTGTATAGATCGGTCGACAACTTCTCGAGTTTCTTGCTGCTGGCGAACTGCTCCACAAAGGTGTCGGTGAGTTGAGCGAATGAGTCGATGGAACCGTCCGGGAGATTTATGTACCACTGGAGTGCTGGACTAGATAAGCTTGAACCAAAACTCTTGCACATGCTGGCTTCCCTCAGCGCTCAGGGTATTGAGACAGTGAACATCCACTGCTTGTACAAGGCTATGTGATCATCTGGGTCGGTTGTGCCGTCGTAGGGTTTCATGCTAAGAATAGTAAACTTCTAGGGCATGTCGGCTAGGGCGATCTAGTCCATAAAGGGTGAATTCGCGTAACAGTGAGGCCTGCTCTTCTTGGTCGGGACCGGCATTCTTAGGATGCGCCTCATCACTACCTCTACATCAGCCAGCCTCTTGGCCAGTACCTGTTCCATAGGAGAGGGGGATACCACTAGGTCATCCCATTTGACTGGATCAACCATTGCATTCGTCCTTGGCATATTCTGTTGGGTCATCCCGCGCAGTGTAGTCTGGTGGATCATTCCTTCGTGCACACCCTAGTAACCCGGATCTCCGTTCATTCCCTTTGGTCAGATGACTCCTATGGTAACTGATCTGGTGTTTCGCCCTACATGAATGGTCAGGGGGGTTGTTTGATATTCGTTCGGTCCGTTAGGATGGGTAGGCTCGAGTGCTATAGTTTGGTTGAGTTGGCCGTTCAACCTGTAAGGGTGAGCCGAGCCGAGTCGAATAGTGTTTGTGCGGGGATGGTTGACTGGAGGTGAGGCTGGATGGTAAGAATGGGTTGGTCTTGTAGGTGTGGGCTCTCTGTCTCTTGGGTGTCTTGATCTCGAGACTGTGGTGGATCGGATGAATGGGGTTCTGTTGGCAGTTCCTTTCCTCCATGAGTTAGGATCGAGTCGTCGACCACTGATGAACTTAATGGATGTGGCCTTTTACCGGAGGCCGAGGGTCTGTGCTCTAGGGTTTGGAGAGGTTGCATGGATGGAACTGGAGCGCGGAATCGACTGGGAGGTACCTAGCAAGGCAGAAGCTTCGGATCATAGAACTGACTCAATTTCTTTTTAAGAGACTGGTTTTCGACCCTGATGGATGCGTTTTTGCTCTGGAGTGCATTGTTCTCGGCTTCCAATGCGGTCATCTTCTTTGAATTTTGTTGCATGAGAGCGGTCAGAGCCTTCAGTCTAGCCTCGAGGCCGGAGTTAGCGTTGTCTGAAGGGTCAACCATGGAAAATTCCTGTACGTAGCAAGGTTTGTCGAGCTGAATGATTGCTAGAGGCCCCATGGTGGGCGCCAAACTGTAGACGTAAAAATCTACCTGTACGGAAGGGGGATATGATCCCGTGAGGTTGAGGCCACTAGCGATCCGCTGCACCTGCACACATAGAGAAACAAGCGTGAAGCGAACGGAAAACACCAGGGTGGTGTTTGTTGTAGGCACTCCGATGCTCAAGTCAGCTAGGCTGAAATAGGCTAGTATAGTGAGGGCTAGGGAGTAGAGACGTTACCGGAAGTCTAGTCGGGGACTGTGACTACGACAGTGATGTGAAGCTCTCAAGTAGGAGCTTCGGGTGTGAAGGTGTAATGTAATCTAATGTCCCTTGTGAGAGGGCTGACCTCTGCTTATATAGTGACTGTTTGGTCTCCCAGCCCTTGTGGGAGTAGGAGTCCTAGTGTGACTCTGATACAAACCCTAGAGGAATTAGGGCGGTGGTGAGTTGTCTTACCAGTGTTCGAATAGGAAGGTGATCCCGAACAGGAAAGTAACATCGAGTAGGAAAGTGACCTGAACAGGAAGGTGACCTTGAATAGAAGACTGATCTGGAATAGGAAAGTCATCTGTGGGTGTCGTGGGCTCTAGACTTGCTCATAGGTCCAGGAAATAAACTAGGATTTGGAGGCCCGGACTTGATAGTTTGGGCCGACTGTATCTCATATCAAATGGGCCTAATCCAGATGAGACCATATCAAAATTGGGCCTAATCTCTTCCTCATTCTGTCCCATTCTCCTATTTGGGCCAATGACCATATTTGGCCCCAACATTACCATTTTTGTGCGACAATTTCACGTGTAATAAAAGTGTGGTCACTGTCATTTGTCAAGACATTTCGTCCAACAAAAAGGTTCCGTGCTGGTGAACCAGTATACGTGTCACTCTCTCACGAGTCACTATCCTCTCCACTTCTTCTGCTATAACTCATCCGCCATAACCAAATCTGTAACTACCGAACCAGACATTTGAAACACATTAAAAACCACGCCGTTTCATTCATCTGAAACGTTCTCTGGTGAATTCTGAAACAATGTCTTTGTTCGACGAATCTTCTTTACATGCTTACAAGCTCCTCTTCAATGCTCTCTCTCAAATCCCTACCTCGCACTATCTCTTCTCTCTTCTAATTCTCTCACTCGCTTTTCTTTACAACATCTTGGAGTTCCACTTCTTTCAAGATCTCTTCTCTGGCTTTCGTGGATCCTCCGTTGCCTTGACCTTCAATTCCTCTTGCTCCCTCTATTACGACGTCGTTTCCAAGTGTAAAATTCTCCACGGAAGGTCTGATTTTACTTATTTATTATTATTATTATTATTTCATACATAAGTTTGTTTCCGATTCTTCACTTCAATGTTATTAAATGCTTATAATTTGTTACAACAATAACTCACAAGTAGTAGTTGTACTTGTCGAGTAGAATGTTTAAAATCATATGTTGTGACATAATGCAGTATTAAATTTGTAATACGAAACAACAAACTATATGGTTACGGAAAAATCCTTTTACTTAATTTGTTAAATGAATCTGAATTGAATTCTTGAAGTTGCCAAATGGGAATATTTTTTCTTCTTGGGAAATTATTTTCTAGGAAACTTTTCCAGTTCGTGGATGAATAGTGAAGAAAATCTTAACATTATGAATATATGCTTTTTTTTTTCTTTCACAATTTTGTTTCGGTATTTTTGAGCAAATGATAATGTGAATTTGCTTTCAAAAAAAACTTAACATTCCTAGTCATGCAGGTATCTGGCAACTCCTTGGCTGTCAAGTCCTCATATTCAGACTACTTTCCTTCATTTCTTTGGGAGGCCTCCAAGTTTCAATTACAGACGGTAATCATCTTTCAGTTGTTTTTATATCATAAGACCATCTTCATTTATCAATTGGTTATTTAATTAATAAGTCATCGAATTTGTGGCTATGCCTATTATAAGAGTTTTCGGGGACAACAGGAATATTAAAGCTTGTTTTAAAGTTGGATAGACATTTACTTTTTGTGTAAGTAATGTGTATTCATTTAATCGAGTTAAACACTTGTTTTGCTGATTCCAATACAATCTGATAATGTATTTTTCTATATCTACTATTCTACTTGCTTTGCCGGTGTGGTTCAAAGCATCTATTTTTACTTGTAACCTGGCTTGATGGGGGCTTTTCTGTTTTCTTAAATTCTTTTAAATGTTAGATTATATCTAGACTAGCATAGTATTCTGAATGTTGATTCTAGGTTTTAGTCTAACAAATGTTCATGTCTATATTTTTCCAGACAACTTTTTCATTTACCTGATGGTGGAATGATTGCCCTGGATTGGCTGATTGGTTCTGATGGTAAATGCATCCTATTTCATTTTTGACAACTATTTAAGTTATATCTGAAGGTGGATTGACTGCTTTTGCATTGACTTATGATTTCTGATGGTAAATATATGACATTGTTTACCATTCTGCGCAAGATGCTTACTCTATGATATATTCAACATTTTATGGTCATTACTACCATTTTTAACTGTACCATTAGCCATTTTCATAACATTATCACTGAAATCTATAGTTTGGAGTGCAATTCTGAGGCCTGTATTGAGTTGCTTGTACATTGTCCGTCTCGTAGGTCTGTTATAGCTTTCTCATTTATGTAGTTTGTATGCTGTGGTTGGCATGTCTTGAAATGTCATCCATCTTTGGCAGTTATTTCTAGTTCTTTGTAGCTAATCAAATTGATATGTGTGACGTTTTCTGGTCATATTTTATCCTATTGTTGATTTTTTAATGCAATTGTATCAGGATAAAATTTCCTCACTATTCCTGATCGAGTCCTATTCTTATTATCAAATCTTTTCCTGTGCATGGCCAGTATAATGTTCCTAGAATTTTGGGTTGGTTATGCCATTAATTTTATCTGCAAATTTTCAAAGAACTATAGATATCAATTTCATTATTGTTTTTTTTTAAATCTCTTTATCGTAATTAACAATTTGGCTGACATTTTCTTTTTATCTGATAGTCGTTTTTGTTTATGACTAAAGTTTATACTTAAAGAGTGTAATATATTAATTTCATATGTGTATGCATGTGTGCTTTCTCACACACATTAAATACAAGTACTTATGATAGAATTTCCGTATTGTTTTATGATTGCAATTTGCATAGAAATACTAGGAAAACTCTTAATACATATTGTCCAGTTCTTTTAGCTTATGACAATGTTGGAATAATAATTTGCATATCATATTAAGCTAAATATAGCAATCTAGCTGCATATATGACGAAGACACTATTGTATAATATTAACAAATAATAAGTTTTTTTTTTTCGTTTTTTTTTTTTTTTAAACAGCTTCAGGAGGTTCTTTATACATGAATAATGCTATTTCAAAGGATGACTCAACTCCTATTGTGGTTGTGATTCCTGGCTTAACTAGTGATTCTGATTCTGCTGTAAGTTCACTAATACTTATTTTGTTTTATCTTTCTGATTTCTAGGCTATGGTGTTTTGAATTTTATGTAAACAGTGTTGAATATGATGAAGATACTATTGTATAATATTTGTTGAAAATGATTTTTTTTTTTATCTTTCACGCTGTTACTGTCACATTGTGCATGTACCAGGACAATATTTCCTGGTTATTTACCTAGACCAAAAATCTAAATAACTAGGTTATGGCATTTAGCCTGCTCTAACTTCTGAATTTCATCTGGTTTAAAATATTAGATGGTATATTGTAGGAACAACAAAATGCTAATATGTTAAAATGACTTGAATGATTTTTCAACAAGTTGGAACTTTAGTTCTACCAATTATTGGTAGACCAAAAATTATTGCACATTATATATGGTATGGTAACTGGTCACTTTTTATTGTATGAATTGCAGTATATAAAGCATCTTGTGTTTTGTACGGCAAAGCGGGGATGGAATGTTGTTGTTACCAACCACCGAGGGTTGGGTGGTGTTTCAGTTACTGTGAGTTTCTTATTGTTTCTTCTCTTTTAGCTTTATACATGAAGGAATTGTTTATTTCTTAAATACATTTTAAATGGAGTGTCTATCCAAGTGGAAAAGATAAGCTTCACTAAAATGAAACTTTTTGTTTGTGATTCTGTGCCTACTATGATGTGTACTTCCTGCACATCAAATGACATTGGGTGATCACTGTATGATAATCATACATACTGACTTCTTTGATAATTAATTGAGGTTGGTTTATTGTTAGAATGGAAATGCATGACTCCTTCACTTGCTTTTCTTATCTTTTTGTTCTTTTTAATACTCAAAAATCCCTCAACCTTCCCTATATGTTCATCCAACCTTGGTAGCTATGAAATATTTCAGATATGATGTCCCTAGTAGGTGGCCACAAGAGGATTTGAAGTTTTGACCCATTGATCTCTTGGTTGAAATCAAGGGCTTTTACTACTAATCCCAATCCTTGGGGTTTGCTCCATCAGTTACTAAATATGGTTTGTTGTACAAATCGATCATTTAGGAGTAATAGAGAGACTGAAAGTCATGCAGAAGAGGTAGAAAATGTTTGAAGGCTACAATGTAATGATATCAAACAGACCTCCTTCCATTAATTTTTGAGAGTGGTCCTAAATTATGGTTCTGCAATGCTAATTATTTCAAGAGATTCCCATTATTCACCCCATTGTTTTTTGTTCTATTATGACTTCAATTTCTTGTTTAATACAGTAATTTCCTGTGACAATCTGTGCAGTCGGATCGCTTTTATAATGCTGGATGGACAGAGGATACGAGGGAAGTTGTTAGTTATCTGCATCATGAGTATCCTAAGGCTCCTCTATTTGCCGTTGGAACTAGCATTGGTGCCAACATTCTGGTATGTTGATGTGGTGCTGTTTCTGCTAAATCTCATTGAAGGTTTCAAATTTCATTGCAGTTGTGCTTCAAGTTTTACCTATCGTTTTCATGTGTTGGGCTATTGGCTTCTCATTGGTTTGTAGAAAAATCTTGGTTGTTTTAACTAGCAGTAGATGTGGGCCTTCTCCAGTATCTTTTTTCTTTTAAATTTTTTTTTTCTCCTTTAAGGGCAGTACAAAAGAAATAAAATCTTCAAAGTTAGTATCATTTCTCCCTATCTTGTGGATGCAGAGTTGAATTTAGTTAAAACAAATCTGGGTTGGATTCTGTAATTTTAGGATGGTTCTGGAATTTTCTGAACTTGACTTTGTATTTTTTATGTTTCTTCTCTTCCTGGGGGCTTTTTAATCCCCTTATTTTCAAATTTATATTCATGTTGCAATAATATAAATGAAAAAAAGATTGTGTTTTTTCTCTTTATGTCAAACTATAAATTAAAATCACCCTGATATATATTTTTCTTCCTATAATCTGAATTATTTCTTTCAGGTAAAATATCTCGGCGAGGATGGAGAGAAGACTCCTCTAGCTGGGGCTGTAGCTATTTGCTCTCCTTGGGACCTGCTGGTTAGTTTCTTACCATAAAATGATGCAACTATTTGTAGTTTGACATTTATGTGGTACTGATACAATGGGTTATTTTCTCACATTCCTGTCATGAATCAGTTGCTTTATATTCAATACATGGTCTTAATATTTTGGAATCTGGTGTAAGTACTAACTGTAAGTCTTTAGGATAATTTACATCTAGTGAGTTATATTGGTATAGTGGGTTGAAAAGTGATAGTTTACATGTTGGCATAGTGAATTCTTGCGTAAAATATCCTTGGTTTGTCATAAAGAACATTTTTAAAAGCATATTTATCCTGGTTTGTCATACAGAAGCTTAAAAGTGTTCTATGGTGTGTATTCCATACATATTTAATACAGGTGCCTTCTTCAAAAATTTGTGTTCATGGGACAGAGTTTGGAAAGGACATTTGGTCCCGGTCCAACATTTTTCAGATGCAGTGTAGCCTTGAGAAACCTGAAGCTAAATTGCTCATGCTTGGAGTTTGGTGGCAATCCTGTAGAAAATGATTAGGCAGAGAAATATGGAATTCAGCAAGAGAAAAAGAATAGTGTCTTGAAGAATAATGGAGTAGATAGAGAAGAAATTCAAGGGAGGTGATAGAAGGCGAAGATACTATAGATCATAGAAACGTTCCTTACATTCAATTGAGTTAGAGCAGCATAACATAATATTATTTTGCTTGTACATAGATCTCTGAGTAAACAACTTTCTTCATGACTAAGGATAGCTAGTCTATCCAAACCCACAAAAGGACTATTGCCTAGCCCAATTCCTATAAAAAAAACCCATTGCCCAACCCAATCCCTATCAATTTGGGAGTGGGTTCCTATCAAATGGTATCAGAGTAGGCCCCACCTTTCGAGCCCACGTAGTAGGGCCGAGAAGGAGAGTTGTTGATAGGCTTTTAGGGCCTGACAGGCTTCTAGGCGAAGTAAGACTCAAAGGGAAGGCAGTAAAGCCCGATGAAAGGGGGGGGGGTGTTGTTGTGGTGTGTAACCGATGAGGGTGGACGCTTTCTGGAAAGAAGACCAACGAGGGCGTTGGGTCTCGAAGTGTGGGGGAATGTTAGGATCCCACATTAAGAGTAGGCACTCTCTCTTGGCAAACCGGTTTTCCAAGGAGAGTTCTACCCAAGCCTACAAAAAGACCACTGCCTAGCCCAATTCCTATCAAAGATCCATTGTCCAGCCCAATTCTTATCAATTTGAGAGTGGGTTCCTATCACCCTCAAATACAAAATAGCAAAATATAAAGATGGTTGTTGAGAATGATTGAAGACAAGTTACCTTAATTATTTTAAACTTAATACATTTTTACTGCATTTCTGCAATTAAACCTCTTTAATCTGAAGGCTTCCAGGGCAATCACACATTAGAATGTTTCAAGTGTTGGTTCACATGTGACTTCACACAGTTCTTAATGTTTCTTTGGTAGGGAATATATTTTGTAACTATCATTTTTCGTTCTTGGTGGTTGGGGCATCAGAAAACGATAATATTTTATAGCTCACCAAGTTTTCCTTCTTATTTGACATTGAAAAAGAAATTGAAGTTTTCTACATTCGTGATTTGGCTGTCATCATTAGCTTATTAGAGGTCATGAACTCTCTTTTACTCCTTTGCAGATTGGTGACAGATTTATATGCCGCAGGCTGTTGCAAAAACTTTATGACAGAGCTCTCGCAATCGGCCTTCAAGGCTATGCACAATTGTATGTCTATACGACCCTTTTTCGCAAAATACTAAATACTGGGTTTAATCAAATCTATTAAAAGAGGTCTCTCTCTCTCTTTTTACTTTATAGTTTAAAAAAAATTCGTGAGGGTATCTTGTAGGTTGTGATTAATGACAATTTTCTGTTATTCTGTTTCTTTCTTTTGTTGTTTCCTTTTTGGGGCTTTCTTTTGATTGACTTGACCTGAGAATATAATGGTTGTTGCAGACATGAACCTCGTTATTCTCGCCTTGCAAATTGGGAAGGCATAAAAAAGGTTGGCTTCTTCACTGTGTTTGATCCTCATCTGTGTATAGGGAACTATTGCATCAGTGTTGTTGTGAAGATAATAAAGCATTGGAAAAATTATGTTAATAATTGATTTCTACATGCTACAAGGATGGTCTATTTATTTGCTTATCTACTCCTTTTCGTCAGAACTTCAAGTTTTTTCTTCAGTAGCTGCCTTTTGGTCAAATAGAGATTTTAGTTTTTTGTTATAAGTTTCCACCATTATCAAGATTGAAGTCCTTTGTTAGAGCAAACATGTATGCCATGCAGAAGTAGGACTTGAGTTGTTAGCTTAGCCTAATTTGTTTCACAGGTATCTTAAGTCAACCAGTGTAGATATATAACAGTTTTACTGTAAATATATTATTCACTAGCCTGGGCGAACAATTTAGGTGGATGCTATTTGTAGCTGAATATTGATCATTTGCTATTAGAATAATGGGAGTAGGCATTAGAATTGCTTGTAGAGATTTATTTGCTGTTTTGTGTCGAGCACTTGGTTGGAGACTATCAGAAGATTGTGCGGGAAGACAAACTTATTTCCATTCTAAATATTGTAATTCTCAAGATGCTCTACCATGATTATCAACAGCAGTTCTTTTGCTATTATCAAATTCTTGATCTTCTAGAGTTTACAACTTCTAGGTGCTTGCTTATTGTATATAACTGGTGTACATAGGGTATAGGCCTACTGTGGCACTTATAATCCATTTTCACCTCTCAAAGGGATCAACTGCAAATGCTGAAGGCTAATATTACTTTTATGCCACATGCCACACCTGTTGACAATGTATCTGGTATTGTACTCTGTAAGTTTGCTAGGATTCCATAGTCAAATCATCGACTGCACCCTAATAAAATAATATGGCAAGGGATTCATTATAGTAAAGTTGTGTCCTCCTTTTCTGTAAGTTATGTTGTTTTATTCGCTCAGTCTGAGAAGGATGAAATTTGGGCATTTACGCTACATTTATAGGAGCGAGGAACAGGATAGCGGGAGAGGAAGAGAGAGAGATGGGAGGCCTCATTATTTTTTCTCATTTGTTTATTTAAGCAAGATGGAAAGGGAAAGTAAGGCAAGGGTTTGTCACTTCCCACCCTCTTATAACATTTCTTTTGTCTTTTCGCTTGAACTTTATACTTTTAGTTAACTGAACGGAAACTTAAATGTCTACTTCACGTGCCTCGTTTCACTTAGGCGACCACCTTTCAAGCACCTAGTTCCTTGGGAAGTTATGGGATCTAACCTTTAAGGATACCAGTGATTGACACTTTCTTCCAAAGAGCAGCATTCAAATTGATGCAAAGTTTACTTAATGATTAAACAATGATATGTACTTCCAGTCTTGCCATGTACCAAAGAGAGCATTCTAGGGATCTATTAGTGAGGCCAAGATCCAGGTTGGCAGTATAGCAATAATTTATACATATATTTCACTGTCAAGTCATTCAAGAGAAATCCTATTCTAGTATTGCTCATAATTTATATATTTGCTATGCTCCTTCCAACTAATGCTCTTTGTTTGTGTTTCAAAAGTCACGTTCTATTCGAGATTTTGACCATCATGCCACCTGCCTTGTCGGAAAATTTGAGGTACTATTGCCTTGCATTTAATCTCTTTTCTCTGAGCTCCTTTCCGTTATTGAGTTAACAGAGGTATCATGCCATTTCCTCAGACTGTGGATACATACTACAGACGATGTAGCAGTTCTACCTATGTTGGAAGTGTGGCAGTACCACTACTTTGTATCAGTGCTCTTGATGATCCGGTCTGCACTCGAGAAGCCATTCCTTGGGATGAATGCAGGTCAAGTTGCTATTGCATGCTACTCTATGATTTCTTACATCATTTTGAGTGCTTTTATAGATATTTTTATCTTTAACAGGGCAAACAAAAATGTTGTTTTGGCTACTAACCGGCATGGAGGACATCTGGCGTTCTTTGAAGGAATAACTGCAGCTTCTGTGTGGTACTTCATGCTTCCTTGTTACTAGAATTCTGGGACCTATCATTTTAATGTTCCAATGTTTATTTATTGGGTTAAATGCTCAAAGTAATCTACCGTTAGGAAAATTACTGAGTTTTAAAGCTTCTGACCTGCAGTAATTTGCTACTTAGGCTGAGAACATGAAGGACAGTATGTATCATTGAAGTTTTGCAACTTGCATAGTTTTATGGGAAACTCTCTCCAACTTGAAATAAGGGGATTTACATCACATGCTTAATTGATTTTTTGATTGATAAGTTTATGTTTTTCATGGCTCACCAATTTCTTGTTCTTCAGATGGATAAAGATGGGCAGATCTTTTGTTTACAAGTTCCCCTTTCTTATTTGTTTTTCATTATCTTTTCCTTGCAGGTGGGTAAGAGCTGCTGATGAATTTCTTGGTGTTCTACACTCTAGTCCATACATGCATGTGCAAAAGAAGGTTTGATTCATTTTTACAACCCTAGAATGGATAGAAAGTATAGAGAGTTTTACAAAGATCTTTTCATAGAACGTTTGTCACATTTGCTTTCAAGTTATTTGTACATGGCATTCGAAATTTTATGGAAGTGCTTTCCTTGTTCTAGTTAACGCAATTCAGAGGCTATTTCGATTACCTGATATATAGTTTTTGCTTTTTCTTGTTTGGATATGCTGATGCAGGAATCAGGCCATGTCCATACATCATTAGAATCCTCAATAGATCAAGGTCCTTATGTTAATGTCTCAGAAGATGGAATGGTGGCTGCAGTAGGCAATGAACAAACAAGAAATAGCATGGTGGGAGACTTACCCGAGTCCCAGAACGTTGATCATAAGATGGATAATGAAATGGTTCCAGTTACCGAGCATGACAAGCGGCTCACAGAAGCAAAGTCTGATACTGTTCCCAGCATTGCTCAAACATGTGAACCACCTACAAACATTCTGGATGTCAAATTTCCAGATGTAACTGCTGCCATTACAAGACGCTTAAACCATCTTTCACGACAGAATAGAAGATCAATATGGTTGCTTGCGTACGTCGCTATTATAACAACATGGCCATTGCTAGGCTCAGCTCTTGGAATTATCTTTCGAGGGAAGCACAAAAATGTCTTACCCGCTGTATTTACAAGGTAGTCTATGCTTGAAAACATTGTTTATTTTCTACCTGTATTTATTATAGGCAATTGCCATGCTAAGTGTGAGATCTTTACTGTTCTGAAGCCGCAACGATTATAGTAGTATACCAGTTTAGGTATCAACACTGTAATATCAATGAAGGTTATAGGTTAATTGTTGATTTCGCTTGTCCGTCTGCGTTAAACGTAAACCATTTCTGTGTTAATAACAAGATTTTGTATCCTGGTATAAAGGGTTCAGATGGGAAGGTAACCTAGTCGAGACCATAATATAAGGTTTCAGAAGGTAACGTTTATCTAATATACCATAAATTCCAATTCGTATATACATTGATGAACTTGAAAGCAAAAAACTTTGCTGCCTTAAGATTCTTATTATAGACTTTCTTTCGGACTAACTTTGTTAAGTAAGGAAACTGTTAGAATTTGAGGTGGACTTTGACTCTTTATCTAATAAGGTATTTGTTGAATGAGAAGATTGTTCCATTCTTATAAACTAGTAAGCTTGAGTGTGTCTAGTCGGTGTGAGATTCTAACACTCTCACACCCAATAAGGCTTTGTTGAATGAGAATATTATTTTCTTTTATAAACCAGTAGGCTTGAGCAAGCTTAATCAGTGTGAGATTTCAACGCTCCCCCTCACGGTCAAGCTCATATGTTGGGTCATGACTGTTGATGGAAGGAGGTAGTTGTTGGCTTTAACTTCTCATTCGCTGATCAAGCACTCGCTTAGATCTGATATCATGTTAGAATTTGAGGTGGGTCTGACTCCTCATCCAATAAGGTCTTGTTGAATGAGAGGATTATCCCTTTTTATAAATCAGTAGGCTTGAGTGTACTTGCTAGTCGGTGTGAGACTCCAATAGAAACCGATTCCTAATAGCATACATATTAATTATTTTAAGATTTCTAGATAATATTATTGTGTTTCGTTTCGTGGACGTGGATATACTGCTGAGCCACGTAAATTTTGTATTTTTTTTCTTTTTCTTTTTATTTATTTCACGTTGAGTGTTCTATATTCAACATTGTGTGTTTGGCTACATATTCTACAACAATAGTTTTGGTTAAAAATTGTTACAAGTGTTTCAGTTTCATAACTAACAGTAAACAGTTCATGCATTGATAACAAGATTATATTTTCAAATCATGGCCTCTCATCGTTAATTGTCAAATTTTAAGTACATATAGCATATCATTCCAAACCTAATTTGATCCTACGTTAGTACAAAAAAGTAAAAAACTATAAGGATGTGGGTATTGCCATATTGTTGCCGAGATCAACATTCAAGGGTTCATATATTGCTACTTTGAAGTTTGAAATTAAAAAAAGAATAATACTACTCATCACAAACACTTATCTCAAATTTTGCATCCCAAATGATGTGTTACGATAGAGTATTGTCATATCATTCTATGAAACATCACTTCATTTACATATCATACCACATATGATGACACATCGCTTGCGATATATGAAATTTGACATAATTTTGGGAAAATGTAGTATTATTGTTAGTCCAAAAGTGAGTCTCTCCAAGTCTCATCAATGTATTCAAGAATCATCAGTGAAACTGAGATTAATTTTTCATTGTGCATAAGCAAAGAAATTAATCCTTTTATAGATTGGATTACATTGGAGAAGTAAAAAGCTTTTATTGGAGAGGTCTTCCATCTACTGAATCAAATTGAAGGTTTGACCATGTCTTGAAAAGCTTCACTTCTTCTCTCATATGATTCCTTAGTGCAATTCTAATGGGAATATATGCTTAAATTTTTTATATAAAGGTGATGGGAAAATGTTTTAAATCTAACAAAATAATCTAGAACGCCATTAGTTGTTTTGCATAAATGATATTAATATAGATAAAATATTCTAAAGGAATTTTTTTCTTTTTCTTTTTGAAAGATGAAATGAAAGGCCAAAGGAGGATGCATAATGCCTTATATATTTAAGATGAAATTATTACCTATCATTTAGTGAAAAATCTTAACGCCCAATATTTTATGCTACAATGAAATGAAATAAACATATGCATAATACATTAAATAATTTAATGAACTAATGTATACAGACATTACCATTTCACTGACATCTCATTTATTTATTTCATTTTATAACACTTCAATTAGTATGAAAAAGCTTGTATATCTAATATTATTTTACTCATTAATTAATTATTTCATGTGGTGTGAATCTGTTAGTTAATCCACTTAGAATTGAACACTTTTAATTACCCATTTACATTAAAATTTCCTTGGGTGAATACCAACTATTTTAGGATTCTTATTCTTTGAGGATTTTTAAGTTCTTAGGTTGAGAGAATGTGAAATTTCCTTCTTCGCATCACCATTATATAAAGAACTTGAGCAAATTGCCAATTGCACTAGGGAATCAAATGGAAGAAGAATTGAAACTTTTAAAGACATGGTCAAGTCGATATGCTTTGAGGATAATTTGGGCATTCAATTTGAATCGATTGACGAAGACTTGGCCAACAAAAGCCCTTCACTTCTTCAATATAAAAAGATTCCTGTGCTTGTGCACAGTGGAAATCCAATCTCAGAATCACTAGTGATTCTTGAATACATGGAAGCAATACCCCTTGCTGCCTCAAGATCCTTATGAAAGAGCCATGGCTCGCTTTTGGGCTTGATTTGGTGATGAAAAGGTATCCGTATGTATTTGTTTTACCATGATAACCTAATTAAATTAATATTATAGGATGACCCTGTTTGTGAATTATTCTAAATTTCATTTACTTCTCCGCTTCTACCATCCTCTACACACAAGGGAAAGAACAAGAGGAAGCTAATGATGTAGCCCATGAGAACCTAAAATTCTTAGAAGAAAAACTAAAACTAAAACTAGAAGGAAATAAATTCTTTGGTGGATCTTGCATTGGGTTGGCTTGTTGACGTGGTGAGTGTCATAGAAGAAATAACTGGTATGAAAATTCTATTTGAGGAGAAATTTCCATTGCTATCAGCTTGGAAGCATGAGTTTGCAGAAGCACAAGTAATCAAAGATAGTTGGCCACCTCATGACAAATTACCCATCAAGTTTCGTGCCATGCGTGAGAATCAGCTCAAGATTGCAGCAGCTAAATAAATTGAGGTAGAGAATAAATATAGCCACATATGCAATGCGTTGTGTGAAAAGCATTGCAAATGCTAAGTCTCAAATTTTTACTATTCTGAAGTCGCTTCGACTTAGTTATGTATCAGTTCCAATGAATAGAATACGCAAATTCCTTAAATTCTCTCCCATATTTTTTATTTTTTTCCGAACAAGAGATAAGGAAAGAAAAATGCGAAAAAAATTCAGATTTGTCTAATGGATATGACAGAGGTCTTCTACCTTTATGTTCGATGGGCAAAAGCTATACATACAACATCTCTTGCTAAACTCAATTTGGTTTTTGGTGCCTCTTTTTTAGTGTAGAAAAACTAATACACATAAATTTTCATCTAATTTTCAACATATTGACTACAATTATTGGAATCTTTGTACATAAGTTAGAAAGATATTCCACTAAATAATGACAATGATTTCCACAAAGAAGATAAGATTGATGGATCTTCCTTTAGCCCCACCTTTTGTCGCTTTTAAAGAGAAAAAATATGCCTTCATAAAATTTGAACCTACTACCAAGGTTTTTCTTTGTCCTTTTACCCATATCGATTTCAATTTGGAAACAAACTCTTGTCCTTCTTGATTTGTCATATTTTAAAACCTCTTTCCCTTCACCTTTGTATTTAATGAAATTTTAAGCAAAATTCCCAGCCATTAGAAATATTACAGAAGGAATCACATGGCAGAAGAAGTGAAGCTTTTGAAGACATGGTCAAGCCTTTTTGGTTTGAGGATTGTTTGGGCATTGAAGCTCAAGGGCATTCAATTTGATTCAATAGATGAAGACCTCACCAACAAAAGCCCTTTACTTCTTCAATACAATCCAGTTTACAAGAAGGTTCCTGTGCTTGTTCACAATGGAAAATCAATCTCAGAATCACTAGTGATTATTGAATACATTGATGAGACTTGGAAGCAAAACCCTTTGCTGTCTCAAGATCCTTATGAAAAAGCCATGGCTCGCTTTTGGGCCAAATTTGGCGATGACAAGGTAATCCATTAAACCTCTTTATGAATTGGTTGATTTTACCAAGATTAATTATATGCAAGCGATATTATAATATGACCCTTTTGATGAATCGTTTCAAATTCCATTTATTGATCAGGTTTTATCATCCATATGGAGTGTGTTCATCAATCAGGGGAAAGAACAAGAGGAAGCATTACAAGTAGCCATGGAGAACTTGAAACTCTTAGAAGAAAACCTCAAGGGAAAGAAATTCTTTGGGGGGGAGAAGATTGGATTTCTGGATCTTGCATTGGGTTGGCTTGCTAATTTGATTTGTGTGCTAGAAGAGCTAAGTGACATTAAAATTATAGATAAGGAGAGATTTCCTTTGCTATTAGGTTGGATGCAAGAGTTTTCACAAGCGCCACTCATCAACGAAAGTTGGCCACCTCGTGAAAAATTGCTCACTAAGTTCCAAATTATGCGTGAGAATCAATCCCTTTAAAGCTTGCAGCTGAGCTCTGCTCAGCTACTTAATTTGTTTTTTATTATGTTTTATAGTTGTTGATTGTCCATAAATGCTTTTTTCTTTTTCTCGTTTACTAAAACTTGGAATAAAGTTTTATTATGAGCGTTTTTTTTTTTTAAATATCGATGGTGCAGTGAAAATATCATTAAATAAATGATGAAAACAAATATGTGTAAGAAGTTATATAAATGAGCCTCCACCATCTCAATTTCTCACAAGAAAGCAAGTAAAATTCAAAGAGAAGTGAGATCCGGGAAGACAAGGATTCGAACAGACTGCTCAAGACTGCAATAATTTGTTAACAAATTGATTAAGCATAAGTGGGATGGGTGTTCAACTACTCGGTGGGATGGATTGAATGACTATCACACCATAATTATGCATCCGATGGATTTGGGCATACTGAAGAAGAATTTGAAAAAGAATTCGTACAATCACCGCATGACTTTGCGAGGGATGTGAGGCTTACCTTTGAGAATGTCATGGTTATTAGTATTACCCTGGAGTCAGGATGTGTATATAATGGCTCGACATGGTTGAATTTCTTTGAAGAGAAGTGCACGAAAATAGAGGAGGACGATTCCTATCGCCTTGCTCTTCGGTAAGAGCCGCTGCCCGTATAGATATTGAATTTTTTTGTTTCGCATCAATATATACAGATATAATCATATTATATTGACTCATGCATTATTTAAATGATTTTTTTTTTTTTTTTGTTTATTTTTCCTTTTTTTTTTTCTTGAACAAAATCTTCTATAAAGACTTTTGGTAAAATATTAGAAGGGGGTAATTCAACAGTGCTGGTTTTCCATTTACATCTTACATCCCAAAATTAATTTCACCAGTCACAATAATTATTTAGCCCATTGAAAAGCTCAATTTCTATTACATTACCAACTTTGTTGGGCTCAATTCGTCCAAAAGGCCCAAAGCGAGTTCAATTCACGGAGCCTATAAAATATAAATATATCAGCAGCCGCATCATATCAACCATATCATAAATTAATATATTTAATATATATATAATTATATAAAGTAAATATATTGGTTTTTCTCTCTTATAATAGGTGTATTGGTTTGTAAACCGTGATGCAATACAATAGACTTTGTTGGTAGTAAAGGTGAATTTTTTATACAAATGATGTGATATTGTTAGGGCCAAAATCGTCATTGGCCCAAATAAGAGAACAGGACCACTAGTGAGGAAGAGACCAAGCCCAATCACAAAGAGATCCAAGCCAGACTAGTCCCATTCGTACGAGATATAGCCTGCCCAAACCATCTGGGCACGGGCTTCCTAGTTCCAGCCCACGGCCTCCACTGATCACTTTCCTGTTCCTGATCAATCTCCCATTCGAAGTCACTTCCTTTTCCTGATCACTTTCCTTACTAAAAGTGACTTTCCTGTTCAGATCACCTTCCTATTCGACGATGGTAAGACAACTCACCACCACCACCTAACTCTTCTAAGGTTTGTATCAGAGTCACACTAGGACTCCTACTCCCACTAGGATTGGGAGACCAGACAGTCACTATATAACAGAGGCCAGCCCTCTCACAAGGGAATCGCATTACACCTTCACACTCGAAGCTCTGACTCGAGAGCTTCATATCACTGTCGTATCATAGTCCCCGACTAGACTTTCGGTAACCTCTCTATTCCCTAGCTCTCACTATAATAGCCTCTTTCAACCTTGCTAACTTGAGTGTCGGACTGCCTACGGCAAACACCATCCCAGTGTTTTCCGTTCGCTTTACCCGTTTGTTTCTCTACATGTGCAGGTGCAGCGGATCGCTAGTGGTCTCAACCTCACGGGATCAGACCTCCCTTCCGTACAGGTAGATTTTTACGTCTACAGATATAAAATGAAAAATGAATTTAAACAAAATTGAAGTCAATAGATGTTCAATTATAATAGATGAATGATGTGACAATAAAAGATTATGTCGCATCTATTTATAGAACAGAGTTTATATATTTAATTTGTATCATCACATGCATTGTAGTATATAACTATAAACCATAAAATTAGTAACTTCCTATTATAATTAGTGGGTTACGTGTCTTCAAAATTCTCCAATAATTATTTAAAACTCTATAAATACCAAATTTACACGCACTCTCATTCAAACGATTTGAAACATCAATAATATTACAATTATTTTGATTCTTCAACATATTTTAGGGTGACTATACCAATAAAGCAATCAACGTGGAACAACAAACAAACTCGTGAACCCTTTAATCTTATAAGTAGACCCAAATTATTTCATCTTCAACATCAACATGATTAACCAAAACATCTCATTTTACCAAGTCAATGGTCATCCATTTAGTTGTCATATTCGAAAATTTTGATTTTTCTTTTGAGTTTCACGTACTAGTCCTTAATTTCAAGGTTGATAACAACACTTTTGAAAAGATTACAATTAAATGTAATTTTTAGGAACATTATAAAGACTTTAGGATTTAATTAATTAATTAAATATAGAAAAACTTTGGAAAGTGATATATCATATAAAATAAGCCTAAAGTACTTGGCGGGCGGCAATAATATACCCCTTAGTTGTAGACAAAATAGGCATGAAGCATACGAAAGAAGGACTCATACTCAACACCATGTCTCACAAAAACTATGAATCTGCCGTTGCAATTTGGTTAAGGACAAATGTATTTGGTGAGAAATTGACCTTTTTATTATAAGGAATCAAACCACTCTAAGACAAAATTAACATCAATTAAGCTAGCTTTTAATTAATTAATTAATCCCAAATCAGGTGGGCAGAATAGAAGTTTCTTAACGATCATATTATCTTCTTTCTTTTTGGGAAAATTATAATCGATCCCTTGTTCTAATTGCAAGAATATTCAACTATTGATAGCAAGATGAAACAAAGGAAAAGCCAAATGGGTATCACATTGTAATCTAAGCCTTTATCCCTTTATAGCCTTTCTGTCTTCTATAGATTTATATTTATATGGTAAGTATAATATGGTTGTACTTGTATTGTACAATGTTATTTTTCTTTTAAATAGTTGGTGATGAATAATATGTTTAGCTGATGCTTGCGGCATTTATTGTAAATACAGTAGAAATACTTCGTATATTGTCATATTGATGGGACTAAACTAATTTTATTATTATGAAAATGTTATAACTTAGTATATGTGTAGTTACAAAAATAATTGTTTTAATTTCTTATTTTATAAATTATATTTTAATAGTATTAGGATTTCAACTCATGTTTTAATAGTATTAAGATTTTATGAATTCAATATTTCAGTAGTATTATGATTCAAGTTACAAATGAAGTGGATGAGGAGAATCAAAGAATCATTATAGAATTGAGTGATTAGATTTGACAACTTCACTATACTCATCGAATGGATATTAATGTCTTCATCAATCATCCAAATAAGCAACAAGTCATGTATGTTTTAACTGAATAAAAAATCATTATTACAATTAGATAAGAAGAGGAAATAGATAATCATGAGGATGATAGTATGAAAATACAAAAAGTTTCGTGCCAAGAAACTCTTAATATGCTTGAGAAGCTAGACATATTTTGACTTCAACAAGAGGTGTCCATGCTGGCGAGTTTTTACTTACCCGCGAGTATAAATCATTGTCTTAAACAACTTTAGATAAATATTTTATTTCATCTTAAACTTTTAATGTAACATAACGTATATTTTTTTGTATTATACAAATAATTATTACTATGTAGATATAAGTTTTTTAAGACAGGTATTAGAAAATTTTTAACTTATTATAATGTAGATTTTATTCTTATTTATAAGTGACCCAAGTTGGGACCATATTTTTTTATGACTACATAAAAATTATTCCCATACAGAGCATCACTATAAAGAGATTCTATTGTACTTATAAAATTGAGATATTAATTTTGAATATTAACTTATGTGGTATTTGATTGAGAGAATATTTGATTTAGCGATATCATATTAATTATATAATAATGAGATAAGTGTTATATAAATAAATAAGTTTACAAGTGTAGTATTATCAATATATGAAATTAGAAAGAGATATATCTTTGATGTATTCGAATTTTAAAAGAAATTTATGATGATTGTCAAAATTTTGAAGGAATTTTATGGTAAAATTCAAAACTAGTGAAACTAATATTATCTAGATTAACCCTGGAGAGTCAATCTTTTAGTTCACTTCTATGTTTGTAATACCGTGATGCAATACCATAGACTTTGTTGGTAGTAAAAGGTGAAATTTTTTATACAAATTGATGTGATATTGTTAGGGCCAAAAATCGTCATTGGCCCAAATAAGAGAACAGGACCACTAGTGAGGAAGAGACCAAGCCCAATCACAAAGAGATCCAAGCCAGACTAGTCCCATTCGATACGAGATATAGCCTGCCCAAACCATCTGGGCACGGGCTTCCTAGTTCCAGCCCACGGCCTCCACTGATCACTTTCCTGTTCCTGATCAATCTCCCATTCGAAGTCACTTTCCTGTTCCTGATCACTTTCCTACTAAAAGTGACTTTCCTGTTCAGATCACCTTCCTATTCGGACGATGGTAAGACAACTCACCACCACCCTAACTCTTCTAAGGTTTGTATCAGAGTCACACTAGGACTCCTACTCCCACTAGGATTGGGAGACCAGACAGTCACTATATAAACAGAGGCCAGCCCTCTCACAAGGGACATCGACATTACACCTTCACACTCGAAGCTCTGACTCGAGAGCTTCATATCACTGTCGTAGTCATAGTCCCCGACTAGACTTTCGGTAACCTCTCTATTCCCTAGCTCTCACTATAATAGCCTCTTTCAACCTTGCTAACTTGAGTGTCGGACTGCCTACGGCAAACACCATCCCAGTGTTTTCCGTTCGCTTTACCCGTTTGTTTCTCTACATGTGCAGGTGCAGCGGATCGCTAGTGGTCTCAACCTCACGGGATCAGACCTCCCTTCCGTACAGGTAGATTTTT